GTGCCTGACAGACTGACGGGATTAAAAGAATAGAGGTTTTTAAAAACTAACAACGGTAAATTTAATGTCATCTTGCTCTCCACAGATAGCTGTAAGTATATCGGTGACTCTTTGGTACCATCCCGAAGGAAAAGCAAACCATTATCTGATCCTTTACAAAAGTGAAGGTAAAAAAAACAGCCAGAAAAAAGCAGCCAAAACTAAACGAAAGGATTCACGCTTTCCTCACATCTCCTCCAAACTCCTCCTTGAAGCTCTCGATTCGCTCTCCGTAAAATAACTGGAATACAAAATATCATCGCGGTAAATTCACATAATCACGCTTTAAGTATAGAAAAATCAGCACCAGCACAGTTTGTGATTTGTTAGATTTAAAAAAAAAATGTGGATGAAAAACTGGAAACAAGTTTGTTTTTTTGTGGACGCTCGCAGACGTTTAAAGCTGTTTAAGGCTTGAAAAGAGAGACATCCGGTTGGTTTCTCTTTTTTTCGGGAATCTCTGATCTCCAGATCGGCCTCCCGTCACATCTGTTCGCCGGGCAGAAAATTCATCGAGGGGTTTTGTATCGCTGTGGGTCTTGGTTTTAATCCAAGTCTGTGCTCCAAAACAGCTCCGCAGTCCCGGGGGAAAAAAAAATCCTCAACGGCTTTGTCTCTCGAGTGAACACATGTGGGAAGAGCAGGGATGAAAAGCCTCACGGCGGCCACGTTTGAAAAAGGAAAAACATCCATCGTCTGTACAAAAAAAAAGGGAGTTGGGTCTGCCGGACTCGGCTTCAGTTGACTTTGAAGATGCTGAAGACGTGGTTGGCCACCGGGTGCAGGCTGAAGGACGGGCCGGTCATGGCCTGGAGCTCGGCGCCTTTGTCCAGCCGCAGGAGGCCGGACACCTGGCAGGGCTTCACGAAGTGGAAGGAGTGGGGGCCGGCCGAGGGCGTGGTCCCGTAGCCCTCCATGCACTGCAGCTTCTGGGGCGTCGGGCCCCGGGTGACCACGTCCAGCTTCACGTACTGAGACTGCTGCTCGTTGAACAGCACCTGAGGGGCCACAACACGCACGGGGAGATGATCACGTCCCCAGTTTAAAAAAAAAAAAAACAGCTTTCAAACGTTTCTGTTCAAATAACAGCAAAAAAAACTAAGCTAGCTAACCTTATTCTAATGCTATATAGCTTTAAACCACCTGCTTCACACCATAGAGCCATTAGCAGGCCTAAACGTTAGCTAAACGATGTCCAGAGGACATCCAATTTAATCAGAATCAGGTGTTGGAGGCAGGATAATGTCTAAAACCTGCAGGACAGCGGCCCTCGAGGACTGGAGTGTGACACCCCTGCTCTAAACCATAACAACAGGTGCCATATGGATGTGGGCTTCTTATAAAATAAACCAATCAAACCTCTCACATAATTGTACCTGAGCTGTCTGATCTTTTATCTCTGACACAAACCCACTATCATTTTAGCAAACTCATTCTCTTCACAAGCTCATTTATTAACATTTTGATATATATATATTTTTTTTTACATCAGGTGGGACAAATGTTACTGTACACAATCATTTGTATTCCAAGCAAATGTACACATAAACGGAGGAGCAATGTTAGCATTTGTTAGCATAATTCCAATATATCTTCAAACAGTTGTGCTCGACTCGATGGCTGCTCTCGCTAGCTAATTTAAGTGTTTTCTTTCAAACCTTCATAATGTTGAGTTTTGTAAAAATATTTCGGAAAAAGTTGAGCTCAGAAATACAATAAAATTTTTCTCATCTCTTTGTTGACCTAAAAAGCAGCAGGCTAAGTGTTAGCACGCTACCAGTTAGCATCGTCAAAGGTACAATTACGGGGGGAAAATGAATCAACCAGAACTTTCTGGTCAAATTTCATTATATGACATAAAAAAAATACAAAAATTTAAATTAAACCTTGAACATGAGCTGTGGGGGGGGCATCTAAATGCTGTGGACACTCACTTGGCAGAACAGGAAGTAGACGCCGGCCCTCTTCACGATGAAGGTGCCTCTCTCCTTATTGTAGGTCACTGCCTCGCTCATGTTCAGCGTCCTCTCCTCCCAACCCTTTATCACGCCGCCTTCTCCCACTGGAAGCAAACGCACCCCCCCCCGTTATTCCCCACAGAGACCCGGACAGAGACCTGGACAGAGACCCAGATAGGGACCCGGACAGGGACCCAGACAGGACAGGGACGTGGACAGGGACCCGGACAGAGACCTGGACAGAGACCCGGACAGGGACCCGGACAGAGACCCGGACAGGGACCTGGACAGAGACAGGGACCCGGACAGAAACCCAGACAGAGACCCGGACAGGGACCCGGACAGGGACCCGGACAGAAACCCGAACAGGGACAGGGACCC